GTGTGTGTGTGTGTGTGTGTTTGTGTGTGATGGAGGAGAGCTTTCTGGGGTACCGACAGAGCCCTTTGTTCCGGAAAGTGACGCCCCATGTACTGTAAGTTGGGGTTATTTGTTTGTTTGTTTGTTTGTTTGTTTGTTAGTTAGTTTGTTTGTTTGTTTGTTAGTTAGTTTGTTTGTTAGTTAGTTTGTTTGTTAGTTTGTTTGTTAGTTAGTTTGTTTGTTAGTTAGTTTGTTAGTTTGTTTGTTAGTTTGTTTGTTAGTTTGTTTGTTAGTTAGTTTGTTTGTTAGTTTGTTTGTTAGTTAGTTTGTTTGTTAGTTAGTTTGTTAGTTTGTTTGTTAGTTTGTTTGTTAGTTTGTTTGTTAGTTAGTTTGTTTGTTAGTTTGTTTGTTTGTTTGAGTAAAGAGAAGCACATCAACACGACACTGGTCATTTGGTGATGGGAAAAAGAAAGAAAGACAGACAGACAGACAGACAGACAGACAGACAGACAGACAGACAGACAGACAAGCATTTGAAAAAGCTTGACATGTTGTGGAACTTAATATTTTGGACGTCATATTTCTCAAAACTATGTACATGTACTGAGTATACTATTACTATGTATTGGCTTTGAATATCTTGATGATGACTTGAAATAATCTTACGATTTTGATAGAGTAGGTAGAACATTTGGTTTGTGATGGCGCACAGTCTTAGTAACGGCCTAAAAAATCAGAGAGGGTTTAGGAGTTCTTAGGTAGGGACAAGCCAAAATAGGTGCGAGCATTAAATCACTTTCTGTATTTTCTACACAGCAACCCAAGTGCTTGTTATCTATCCTTGAGCATCGCAAATTTCCTGTCTCATTATATCAATCCCTATCCCTCCCACCTTTCAACATCCCCCTCTCTCTCTCTCTCTCTCTCTCTCTCTCTCTCTCTCTCTCTTCCCTCTTCTACCCCCTTTCCAATCCAAGCCCTCCGACATAATCTTCCTCCCCTCCTCTTCTCCCAATCTCAGCTGTTCCCCCTACCCCAGCCTCCTCCACTTTACGCCCACTGTTGGTCCGACTCACCTCCTCCCCACCACAGTGCCTTGGTCAGTGGACAGTCCCCTTTCTCCCTTCTCTCCGTCTGGTTCCCACAGGGAGGGGGGTAGAGACAGGTTGTTTTCCCGCGGACAGTCCCCCACCATCCATCCCCCGTCCAACTCCCTACTTATGTACACAGCTACCACCATTATGCTATGGGTTGTCCAGTTTGCCGCCATCATGTCTTATCACCAGAGGTTAATTAGAACTGACGACTGTCGGCGACAAATGTTTCGCCATTTGTTACTACTTGACAACCTCAGAGTTTCTATGAAAAGATCTGGTCTAATTTCCACCTATTGATATCATTTTTTTACGTTTATGTAGAATTCAAGAAATTTGTTGAAAGGGAGAGAATTATTATAGCTTTTGCTTACTTCCCCTTGTGATAGAATTGTTTACGTTGACGGAAAACATAAAGGAGATTCTGAGGTTAT